TTAGCGAGGAACGGAAAGAGAAAAAAATATCGCCACCTTTTTCATGTGTGTTCCACTTCCTCACGTTAGAAAAGATCACCGAATTTCACCTCGTAGTCGCGGAGAGTAACAAATTTATCTACCATGAAGCGTGATGCACGGTTTCAGTCGGGTGAGTGAGTGTGAACGGTAGTTGCCATTGTCGTGGTAGAAATGTAGTTTCTGTCTTGTAGCAAGCATCCTCGGGACCCAGGAGCAGCTAGTCTGGACGATAGATAATGTTTGTGGGGAAAGTTTACTGTAAGATCAAGACGAGTAAACTTTCATCACGAACATTCTATCGTCCCGACTAGCTGCCCCTGGGTCCCCGAGGATGTGTACTAAGCTGCTTAACCCTGGTATGGACAAAGGACAGAAAAGCCCGATAATGGTAAATCAGAGATTACGGGAGCTTCTCACGGTGCTCGGTTGAAAATTTCAGTTTGTATTACTCTAAAAGAAATATTTATAAATTTGTTACTTGATGTAGTTATATTTACCACCTGCAATTTTGAAAGGGTGACACCCACATAACCAGCGAAGAGCGTAGCGCCGAGTTGGCTAAAATCATCTCATATCCAACAAGCGCGAGGGGAATAATTTTTTTTATTAAAAACGCCCACAAAATATCGAGAATTCTTCCTCACTTTATTTGTAAAAACAACCGATTTTCAGCGTGTTTTTAATTTTGAGCAGACGCGTACGGTTACCATATTTGGAGAGCATGGTGTAATGTCTCATATACGATGATGGCTAAGCCAATCTGAGCTCTAGAATTGCATTATCCAATAATTCAGTTTTGATAAGATGTATTATACTCTTTTTCCAAGAAGCTTCTAAGGCCCTGTCCACACTAATTCGTTTTCAAAAGTATGCGTTTACGTAGTCTTCGAAAACGCATGAATCGATTAGCGTTCGCACTAAAACGTTCGAAAAGGATAGAATTGCGCGTTGTGACCTAAGGTGAACTCAATGCGCATGCTACAAACACTCGCGCCTGCAATATTTTCAGTGACCCTTTTACATTTTGATGCGTTTTCGACCGTCCAGACTAAAGGTGGATTTCTACTGGCGCATAATTTCCACGTTCGTACGCACGTAAATTTTACGCGCGTAAATAAAAATAGAGGCTATTTATGAAAGGCCGTGAGAAACGTTAAAGTTGCGCGAGGTTCAACTTTTTCGTTTACGCGCGACCTTCCATACATTGCCTCTATTTTATTTACGCACATAATATTTACAGTAGACTCCCGATAACCTAACCTTCAATGGAAATCTAAAAAAGTTCGAGTTACGGAATTTCGAAGCAAGTGGTTGAAAATAAGGAAATAACGAATTATGGACACTGTAGTTGAAGTGGGCTGATGACCAAAAAGTAAAGACAAAGAATATACAGTTGTTTTGAAGTATTAAATTCAATGTCTCGGACTGCAGCACACGCTTTTCTTCTTTTTCGATCAACTTGTCACGCGGTTAAAACATGGTTCTAGTTATCGAGGGTAAAATTATATAGAAATGATGTGATCGAATCTGAAGGGAAACAAAAATTACTTCGAGTTAGCGGAAGGGTCGAGGTATCGAGGGTAAAATTATAGTAAATGTATGAAGTAAATCCAGGGGAAATAGATTTTGGTTCGAGTTATCGGGAGTCGACTGTACGCGCGTACGTACGAGAAAATTACCCAACCGTAGAAATCCACCCCAATACGATATGTATGCGTTTTCGTTTTGATCCAATTTTAAGAGCGGCATTTGTGTGGGTATTGGTCAGGGTTAACTTAATAAGGTTTCAAAGGACCCTTGTGTAAAAAAATTAATCAAGAACTGAAAAGAAATAAAAAAGATTATTGTTTCTTCCGCTTTGCCTTTTTGACAGACGGCGCTTCACAATAATAAGATTCCTCGTGCAACAAGAAGGCAGGCGTTACACTGGCCGAATTTATACTAGAGACGAATTATCCGTTTAGACGTCCACTGTGACGTTGCTCGGTACAACAAGAATAGCATTAATGACCTTAAGATTCACTTTTACGCCAAACGACAAACGTGAATTTGTACCACGTGACCAAGTTTTTCCCTTAATTGTCGTTTACTGTTTATTAGAGAGGTTTAGATTCGAGTTTACCGCGAACCTCTAACCGCTGGAGGTCACGTGACAAGTCTTTCGCGTCACGTTTGAGGTTTACGACGTGCGTTTTCAACGTGGGGAGGTAGGTTTTCACGTATGTCAGTTAGGTGAAAGCTTTTAGCGTATAATTCTTGTTTAATCCCACGTAATGATACAAAAATTTTGTGGAGCAAGTCTTTATCCATTAACAGAGGCACAAATTCGGGCGAAATGCTAAATTTGAAAAATCCTATTGGATCTTGAAAACAAGTGCCATTCATGGCTGCTGATTCAAAATGGCGGCCGTAATCTAATCCACCGCCAATCTAAATCGAATTATGTTTGAACGTCGAACCGCAAACGGGTAACCGCAAATTGCGGTTAGAGGTTCGCGGTAAACTCGGATCTAAACCTCTCTATTATTTCTCACTCCAGTTTTATCCATAAGAATTGTTCTGGACGGTTTTTATGTGCTTATTTTCTGTTCTGAGAAATTCTCAACTTATATCTGACGTTTGCCGTTTGTCGTAAACGTGACTCTTAATCCCTCTATTGTCAATTTTACTGGGTGGCAGGTACAAATCTTCCTTTGCACGGGAGCTTATGGCTGGGATGCCGGATTGTGTAAGCCATGGGACTATGCAATATTCAAACTAGGAGTTGCCTGCTAAAAGGATGAAGACCCTGGATACTCTGGGAACTCAAACTACATCGAGCGAACACAAAAGAACGTTGATTTACAATAACGGTAGTCAGATAATCTCAAAAGAAAGGCAGCACCTATATCCAGGTTTTTCTTTGACAAATTATATTCTTCTACGTTTCTAAAAAGATGGTACATGTGTGCGGAAACTAAGTCGGAGAGGAAGGAAGTCGCTGCTGTTGTTTTTCCATAATTCTTTATTCTAAAACTTCATAGTAAAATATACAACCTTGGCAATTCATATCTCATATGATAAATTCTAAACAATTATAAAATAGAGGCTTCCAAAAGAATGATAATGCATTTTCCTCTAAGAAAAATATTTATATTCCCCAAGTGCTCTGAAAATATTAGCAAACCCTTAACAGGGACAATTGTGTGACGGAACCAGGTGATAGATCAAGGCTAACGCAAACATATTTAAGTCTACAATCAGTGTCCTATCTTGTCATCATGTCTTGGAATAGACTAGGCTACCCCTTTATCCACGTAATAGACATTTTGCAGCTACAATGAGGGACAGAAGTGTTGTACCTATCCCTCCCCCCTGTGTACCCCCTCCCCTCTCCTAAAGTTATTTTGTAGACCCACACGTCTGTCTTTAACCACACACAACATTGATTCGGGGCTGGGGGGGGATTTACGGCGTAAAACAGAATGAAATAATTGTTGATAAAAGCACCCGTTTTAGACAAGGGCGTCAACTACTTTTGTCCCTGATTGTAGTCATTCACGTGGTAAAAAACCGCCATGTTGGAAAGAAGGGGCGCACTGAAACAAGACAACTGACAAACGGTTGACATCATTTAGAAAAAGTAGTTTTCTTTGTTTTATGTCTCGTTCCAGTGCAGGTGAATAACATGCTACAAAGGGCAAAGAACACAGTAACAGGCCTCGCGTTTCGTTTCCACAATGCAGATAGCCGGTGTACAGAGCCCCTTGCCCTCAGGAAAAATCGGAGAAGGGCCCCTTCTCCGAAATTTCCTGACGGGAGGGAGCTCTGTACGCAGGCTACAATGAAAAGATCACATGACGATAGTCAAAACAACATTCTCTTTTAGACATTATTCATTTTCAATCATGAGACAAGCGATCAAATCTCTTTAAAAGATTTCAGCATGGGATCTACAATGAGAAAACCAATTTAAAGATACCAGCAATTACTGTCTGTTGAAACCAAACGAAGCCCTTGGTCAATCCAAGTCGGAAATGATACTGAAAAAGTACACAAAGCGTCTGATCGAAAGTTGGGATTAACAATAAATAATTTCTTTTCCTTATAATACAATTCAACAAACTGGAAAGTCCTAATAATTATTCATAATTTTAGACTGTCATCAGTCCCTCATGACTGCTTTCACCTCTTCCTTGTTCGTGCGCTCTCACGGATTAACTCTTGCCGTGTGAACAGCTTTCGCGCTCGACTGGTTGAAAAGCAGCTGCTAGTAGCCAACGGTTATTTCTAAATCGCAATTTTCAAAGAAAAACCTTTCCATCCCTATCATAAATTATAATTTTTTCTCGCCAAAAAGCGTAATCGAACTTTCCGTGCACAGGTTCGTAAAATATAACGTTAGCTATCGACAAAGCGATAAATGCAGACTTCTTAATTTATCTAAAAAAAATTCCCTGCCCATTGCTGCTTCAATGCGTAAATATGTTATTAAACCAAAGCTAAACAAGGTTCAGCTATTAAAATATAGCTTAGAATGTCCATTCAGGGATATAGCTTTGAAATTAACTGGAAGTTTGTCCCAATTTCGTGCAAAAAGTAAATTGGATACGCGGAACCGAGGTTTTAATAACCCCTTGAACTTGTCTGATGGATGACCGGCACCAGCTATGCATGTTCAAGATTTGCCGTTCCAAAGCTCTCTTTCTCGCGCCCTTGTTTAACGATATTAGCCCCTGATCAAATCAACTTGTTCGATCTAGGCTTAAGAGCCCACCCGATGACTGATGGCTGATCGGATCATACCCTTCCTTACGCATCAAAGAGTCGGTTTTCCAACAACTTAACCTTGCAAGACACTCATTTTGCCATAAGATTCGCCCTTTTGTGCCCTCTTTTGTTAGTAATCAGGCATCGCTGGGAGCGCACATCAGTAGCTTCTAAACTGGAGTTGTAGGTTCTTTGAGTTCTACTTTGACCGTCTGTTGTACCTCATCGTTAAGATTCTTGGCATAGTTGATTTTCTGCGCCACCTGATTAACAAAACACGTGTAAGCTGTAACAAAAACTCAGTACATAAAACGGCACAGGAAAAGTTCCTGGAAAAGTTAAACTATTTCGGGTTCGAAAAATAATTTTAAAGTTAATCATAACTATAACAAAATTGTCAAATCTGATTGGCTCTCAACTGCCCTGATTTCAGCCTTAATTGGACAGTTTAATAGGACGGTACGCGTCATGCCTAAGTAATTGGACAGTACGCGCCATCACGCGCGCGCTTAAATGGCTTTTTTTTTTTCCCTGCTAGCAATAAAAATCTCGGAATTTCTTGTGTTTTGATTTAAAAATTAGCCTATAATGTCACAAATTTTGTTAAAGTTATGATTAATTGGTAACAGAACTTCGTGTCGTCCAATTCGGTCTGTAATCATACTCGTGATTAAACAAATCGGACTCCCGCTACGCGGTCGTCCGATTTTGTTAATCACTCGTATGATTACAGACCGAATTGGACTCCACTCAGTCCTATTACCATTACTAATCAAACTTTTCCAGCTCCAAAACTGAACGTAAAGGGAGCAAAATGCTGTACACATAAAGACGATTATTTATCTATTTCAGTTCTTAAATCCGAAATTCTAATAGAAGTTCTAATAGATCTCTCCAGTATTTAGCTCTAATGAGCGCACACAATGAAAAGAGATGGAGGCTTATGATGACAATTTCATACAAATCGCTGATTTTGTCACCCTAAGTGAGCCTCGAGTTGCGGCGTTTGTACGCAGGAATGCGGTAACGGTCCATACGCTAACTAAAAGTTGTGTGAGTTTTAGATCTCAAGGTACGCCTAGTGAATAATCAAAGTAGAATCGAGTTTAGCGAACCGACCGCGGTAAGGGCACCCGCCTGTTTTCTGGAAAATCATGGGTTCATTCCTGTTAGGGATTTTTTTTCACACTCTTGACAAAATAAACATGATATCTGTCTTAGCACAAACCTTCTGCGCCACACTCTGCTGGTCGCATCTGACCCTAGGCCGTTTGCTTGGGTTTTTAGACGGTGTTGGCACGCTGCTGTTATCCGCTTTCATCACCAGCTCGATGTAACTTTTTCCGTCTTTGAACAGAAACAAAATGGTAATTAGATCATGGCTTAGCGTGCGCACATGCCGCTTTAAAGCGTACGGGGCATTTGGAGAGAAGAAATGAGATAAGCCTTATAGCTCTACAATCTTCCGCCGTGCTTCATAGATTGATGCATATAGGGCTGAAAACATCAATAATTGGTATACAATAAGGCCAATTCGGTAAAACCATTAAGGTGCACACGAGGAAAACGAAGCACCCTCGGGCTGTTAAATTAGAATTTTCTAGCTGTTCTAAGAGGGGTTAACCACGAAAACGTCTATCGTATCGTGGATTATAATGCTACATCTGATTAAAAGACCAATCGATAAGACAATTGGACCAATAGGAAGGACGAATATGTATTTTTGGCCTTAACGAATAAAGACTGGGTTGACGCAGCCGGACACTTCAGAAATTCCAGTACTTTGCTACACGTTATTGGCCAATCAAAACCATTGCCAATTAATTCGCTAGAGAAAGGCGGGTCTGTTCATCCTCGTTCCAGCCCTTAAACACGTTAAAATAAGAGCATATAAGCTCGCCTGTTGAAAGCTACAATTCATCTCTGCTCTTTATAATCACAGTGCATGCTACTAGTGTACTTCGTGACGGCCTTGGTATTCGAGCATTACCGCATATGAAGGCTCTCTGTTTTCAAAATTGAAGGTATTAGGCACGTAAGCCTCACTTTACACTGACCGCACTAAATGCTAAGATACCTGGAATCAATGTTTTTTGTATGCCTATAAACTTTTATTAGCAAAAATAACTAAGATTTTTAACAAATGGATCTTACCAGTGGATAGAGGCTGACAAACGTAGAGGTCTGAAAAACGCACAAGCAGAACAATTGACTCCGGGGAGGGGGTCCCACGTGCTCGGACAAAGTACACACCCTCTGTAGTAACGATAGCCTTTAGTGGTATTTCAAGTGTGATTATATAATAAAGAAAACATTACATGGCCGCTTGAGCTAAGGATACGAAATTTGTCTTCTCGTGTTGAAAACTAATTTAAAACACGCGAAGAGAAACTTTGTATCTTCGCGCTGCTATGCAATATTCTCTATATAATGTGGAGAGGGGAAATCCTGAGTAAACTCAAAAAGTGCAACCCACATATAGGGCCGGAAGGGCCGATTTTTTGGAGTCGGACCCAAGCACGATGACGGCAGGACAACGGGTTTCACCACTTCGTCACCCTTGTAATCACCCTTCTCCATAATAGATTTATCCATAACAAGAGATCCATCATTAAAAACCAAAACAATAATAATAATAACTTTTTGTTCTGTCTAATCGATCGCCTCTCCTTTTTCAGACTCAATGAAACGCTAAAGGAGGAATAATCATGACAAAGGCGATTTTGGCTTATGGATCTGGAGTAGCTCTTAGTCCTTATAGGGATCCCAAGCAACGGCGATGGCAGCGAGAATAACCAAATTAACTGAATTTAATATTTTTAAAGCTTTGTGGCTATTATTCCAACTCCACCACGGATATTTTCGGTAATTTCTGGAGTCGAATTCTTAGGGAGGCACGGAAAGAGAAAAAAATATCGCCATCTTTTTCATGTGCGTTCCAATTCATCACGTTAGAAAAGATCACCGAATTTCACCTCGTAGTCGCGCAGAGTAACAAATTTATCTACCATGAAGCGTGATGCACGGTTTCAGTCGGGTGAGTGAGTGTGAACGGCAGTTGCCGTTGTCGTGGTCGAAATGTAGTTTCTGTCTTGTAGCAAGCATCCTCGGGGACCCAGGAGCAGCTAGTCTGGACGATAGAATGCTTGTGGGGAAAGTTTACTGTAAGATCACGACGACTAAACTTTCATCACGAACATTCTGTCGTCCCGACTAGCTGCCTCTGGGTCCCCGAGGATGTGTACTAAGCTGCTTAACCCTGGTATGGACAAAGGACAGAAAAGCCCGAAAATGGTAAATCAGAGATTACGGGAGCTTCTCACGGTTCTCGGTTGAAAATTTCAGTTTGTATTACTCTAAAAGAAATATTTATAAATTTGTTGCTTGATGTAGTTATATTTACCACCTGCAATTTTGAAAGGGTGACACCCACATATAATTAACAATAATTCCACGAGTGCGCGTTGGTTTTGAGATGGTAGATAACCAGCGAAGAGCGTAGCGCCGAGTTGGCTAAAATCATCTCATATCCAACAACCGCAAGTGGAATAATTTTTTTATTAAAAACGCCCGCAAAATATCGAGAATTCTTCCCCATTTTATTTGTAAAAACAACCGATTTTCAGATTGTTTATAATTTTGAGCAGACGCGTACGGTTACCATATTTGGAGAGCATGGTGTAATGTCTCATATACGATGATGGCTAAGCCAATCTGAGCTCTAGAATTGCATTATTCAATAATTCAGTTTTGATAAGATGTATTATACTCTTTTTCAAAGAAGCTTCTAAGGCCCTGTCCACACTAATTCGTTTTCAAAAGTATGCGTTTACGTAGTCTTCGAAAACGCATGAATCGATTAGCGTTCGCACTAAAACGTTCGAAAAGGATAGAATTGCGCGTTGTGACCTAAGGTGAACTCTATGCGCATGCTAGAAACAATCGCGCCTGCGATATTTTCAGTCACCGTTTTCATTTTGATGCGTTTTCGACCGTCCAGACTAAAGGTGGATTTCTACTGGCGCATAATTTTCACGTTCGTACGCACGTAAATTTTACGCGCTTAAATAAAAAAGAGGCTATTTATGAAAGGCCGTGAGAAAAGTTAAAGTTGCGCAAGGTTCAACTTTTTCGTTTACGCGCGACCTTCCATACATTGCCTCTATTTTATTTACGCACGTAATATTTGCAGTAGACTCCCTATAACCTAACCTTCAAAGGAAATCTAAAAAAGGTTCGAGTTACGGAATTTCGAAGCAAGTGGCTGAAAATAAGGAAATAACGAATTAGGCAACAAAGCTCCATTAATTTACAGTTATGGACACTGTAGTTGAAGTGGGCTGATGACCAAAAAGTAAAGACAAAGAATATACAGTTGTTTTGAAGTATTAAATTCAATGTCTCGGACTGCAGCACACGCTTTTCTTCTTTTTCGATCAACTTGTCACGCGGTTAAAACATGGTTCTAGTTATCGAGGGTAAAATTATATAGAAATGATCTGATCGAATCTGAAGGGAAACAAAAATTATTTCGAGTTAGCGAAAGGGTCGAGGTATCGAGGGTAAAATTATAGTAAATGTATGAAGTAAATCCAGGGGAAATAGATTTTGGTTCGAGTAATCGGGAGTCGACTGTACGCGCGTAAGCACGCGAAATTTACCCAACCGTAGAAATCCACCCCAATATATACGATATGTATGCGTTTTCGTTTTGATCCAATTTTAAGAGCGGAATTTGTGTGGGTATTGGTCAGGTTTAACTTAATAAGGTTTCAAAGGACCCTTGTGTAAAAAAATTAACCAAGAACTGAAAAGAAATTAAAAAAAAATGATTTTTTTCTTCTGCTTTGCCTTTTTGACAGACGGCGCTTCACAATAATAAAGTTCCTCGTGCAACAAAAAGGCAGGCGTTTACACTGGCCGAATTTATACTAGAGACGGATTATCCGTCTAGACGGATAATTCGTCTCCAGTCATGATAACTTCTGCCACTGTGGCGATGCTCGTTACAACAAGAATAGCATTAATGACCTTAAGATTCACTTTTATGTCAAACGACAAAGGTTAATTTGTACAACGCGACTAAGTTTTTCCCTTAATTGTTGTTTACTGTTTATCATTTCTCACGCCAGTTTTGCCCATAAGGATCGTTCTGGACGGTTTTTATGTACTTTTTTTTGTTCTGAGAAATTCTCAACTTTTATCTGACGTTTGCCGTTTGCCGTAAACGTGACCCCAATCTCTCTATTGTCAATTTTACTGGGTAGCAGGCACAAATCTTCCATTGCACGGGAGCTTATGGCTGGGATGCTGGATTGTGTAAGCCAGGGGACTATGCAATATTCAAACTAGGAGTTGCCTGCTAAAAAGATGAAGACCCTGGATACACCGGGAACTCAAACTACATCGAGCGTTGCATTTTTTAAACCCAAAGGACGTTGATTTACAATTACGGCAGTCAGATGATATCAAAAGCAAGGCAGCACCTATATCCAGGTTTTTCTTTGACAAATTATATTCCTCTATGCTTCTAAAAAGATAGTATGCAAAAACTAAGTCGGAGAGGAAGGGAGTCGCGGCTTTTATTTTTTCATACTTCTTTATTCTAAAACTCCATAGTAAAATATACAACCTGGGCAATTCATATCTCATATGATAAATTCTAAACAATTATAAAATAGAGGCTTCCAAAAGAATGATAATGCATTTTCCTCTAAGAAAAATATTTATATTCCCCAAGTGCTCTGAAAATATTAGCAAACCCTTAACAGGGACAATTGTGTGACGGAACCAGGTGATAGATCAAGGCTAACGCAAACATATCTAAGTCTACAATCAGTGTCCTATCTTGTCATCATGTCTTGGAATAGACTAGGCTGCCCCTTTATCCATGTAATAGACATTTTGCAGCTACAATGAGGGACAGAAGTGTTGTACATATCCCTCCCCCCTGTGTACCCCCTCCCCTCTCCTAAAGTTATTTTGTAGACCCACACGTCTGTCTTTAACCACACACAACATTGATTCGGGGCTGGGGGGATTTACGGCGTAAAACAGAATGAAATGAATGAAATTGTTGATAAAAGCACCCGTTTTAGACAAGGGCCTCAACTACTTTTGTCCCTGATTGTAGTCATTCACGTGGTAAGAAGAACCGCTATGTTGGAAAGAAGCACTGAGACAAACTGTCAAACGGCTGAAATCGTTTAGAAAAAGTAGTTTCCTTTGTTTCATGTCTTGTTCCAGTGCATCTCCTGCTCTCAGTACAGCATGGCAGTTTGGTACCACGTGAATAACATGCTGCAAATGGCAAAGAACACAGTAACAGGCCTCGCGTTTCGTTTCCACAATGCGGATAGCCGGTGTACAGAGCCCCTTGCCCTCAGGAAAAATCGGAGAAGGGCCCCTTCTCCGAAATTTCCTGACGGGAGGGGGCTCTGTACGCAGGCTACAATGCAGATCACATGACGATAGTCAAAACAACATTCTCTTTTGGACATTATTCATTTTCAATCATGAGACAAGGTATCAAATCTCTTTAAAAGATTTCAGCATGGGATCTACAATGAGAAAACAAATTTAAAGATACCAGCAATTACTGTCTGTTGAAACCAAACGAAGCCCTTGGTCAATCCAAGTCGGAAATGATACTGAAAAAGTACACAAAGCGTCTGATCGAAAGTTGGGATTAACAATAAATAATTTCTTTTCCTTATAATACAAATCAACAAACTGGAAAGTCCTAATAATTATTCATAATTTTAGACTGTCATCAGTCCCTCATGACTGCTTTCACCTCTTCCTTGTTCGTGCGCTCTCACGGATTAAATAGCTTTCGCGCTCGACTGGTTGAAAAGCAGCTGCTAGTGGCCTACGGTTATTTCTAAATCGCAATTTTTGAAAGAAAAACCTTTCCATCCCTATCATAAATTATAATTTTTTCTCGCCAAAAAACGTAATCGAACTTTCCGTGCACAGGTTCGTAAAATATAACGTTAGCTATCGACAAAGCGATAAATGCAGACTTCTTAATTTATCTAAAAAAAAATTCCCTGCCCATTGCTGCTTCAATGCGTAAATATGTTATTAAACCAAAGCTAAACAAGGTTCAGCTATTAAAATATAGCTTAGAATGTCCATTCAGGGATATAGCTTTGAAATTAACTGGCAGTTTGTCCCAATTTCGTGCAAAAAGTAAATTGGATACGCGGAACCGAGGTTTTAATAACCCCCTTTTAGTCCATTCCAATCGAACTTGTCTGATGGATGACCGGCACG